ATGTCTTTGAATTACAGTGTTGGCAAAGAATATTGAATGTACCATGGATTGCCAAAAGAATGAAAAAAATCTATCTGGCAAGAAGTACAGCCAGAATGCTCCTTAGAAGTCTCACATACTTTCGTCATGTAATCAGGAGGGACCAATCCCTGGAGCACATCATGCTTGGTAAAGTAGAGGGTCAGCAAAAAATAGGAAGACCCTCAATGAGATGGACTGACATAGTGGCTGCAACAATGGGCGCAAGCATAACAACGATTATGAGGATGGCTCAGGACTGGGCAGTGTTTCGTTCTGTTGTACATAAGGTCAGAACTGGCTCGATGGCACCTAACAACAGCAAATAACAGGATGGCTAGGAGCCCTGGTGGTGCAGTGGTTAAGAGCTCAGGCTGCTAACTAAAAGGTCAAAAGTTTGAATCCACCAACTGCTCCTTGGAAACCCTATGGGGCAATTCTACTCTGTCCTATACGGTTGCTATGAGTGAGAATCGACTGGAAGGCAACGGATTTTTTAAGATGGCTAAGATTTCAAAACAAAAAGAGAAAATAACAAACGTTGGCGATAATGTGGGGAAATTTAAACCCTTATCCATTGCTACTGGGAATGCAAAACGGTATGGCTATTGTGGAAAACAGTATGGCAGCTCCAGAAAAAAACTAAAAATAGAACTACCATATGACCCATCAATTCCACTCCTAGGTATATACCCAAAAGACATGAAAGCAGAGACTGAAAAAGAGACATGTATACCAATGTTCATTGTGGTACTATTCATAATAGCCAAAAGGTGGAAACAACATAAATGCCCACCAATAGATGAATGGAAAACAAAATGTGATATATACACACAGTGGTCTACTACTCAGCCAGCAGGAGAAATGCAGTCTTGATACATGTTACAGTATGGATAGAGCTTGAAGACATTAGGCTGAGTGAAATAAGCCAGTCACAAAAGGACAAATATTGTATGACCTCACTCACAGAAAAAGACAAGAAAAGGCAAATGTACAGAGATCAAAATTTATTAGTGGTTACCAGGGGCAGGAGGGAAGAGGAAAACGTAGCGGGGGTTAATGGTGATGGAAAAATTGCATTGATTAAGGGTAGGGTTGGGCAGCTGATTATTATAACTGCTGTTAATAAGTTGTACACCTGTTAAAAACTGAATTGGCAGAAGTATGATGGATATATTTACAACAATGACAAAAAAAAAAAAAAAAGAGTAGTTGCTGAAGCTGCTTATGTACAACCAAACACCTCATGGGATTTGGTTTCTTGGTTTGGAGGTTTAGGGTCATGGCTTCATGGGACATCCCAATTAATTGGCCCAATAACATGTTTAGTGCTTCTGTTCTACCTCTTAGTTCATTGTGCAGTGCTTGGGATCTTAAAAGCTTGCAAGTGGCCATCCAGGAACAACAGAGGAAGAAGGCAAGTCAGGAATAGGAGGAGGATATGGAATGTGTGGCTAATTGCATCCATGAACAACTACCTCCTTTGCCATGAGACCAAAAGAACTGAATAGTGCCCAGCTACTATTACTGAACATTTTAATCATATATTCCACAGAAGACTCTGATCAAGGGGGCAGGGAAGAAATGCAGAACAGAATTTCACATTCTCATAGACTCTAGAGTTTCTGGAGCCATGGACGGTAGATGAACCCCTGAAACTATTGCCCTGAGATAATCTTTAAACCTTAAACCAAAATATTCCCTGAAGTCATCTTAAAACCAAACAATAGTTTAGCTTAACTAGTAAAAAAGATGTGCCTTGAACATTATTTTCTTTTCAGAACTATCTATATGGGATCAAACTGACAACAGCAACTCGAAAGATTAGACAGGTACTCTAGAGGGCAGTAAGTTTATGTTAATGAGAGAGGAACAACGAAGAAAAGGAGGGTGAGAATGGTTGCACAACTCGAAGAATGTAATCAACGTCACTAAGCTGTACATGTAGAAACTTTGAATTGGTGTATGTTTTGCTATGTATATTCTCAACAACAACAAAATAGAACTCAGAAAAAAAAATCATCATTTAAAACGTTTGCTGTTAAAAAAAATAAATAAAACCAACCAACAAAACGCTTGGAGTTTAATATTACTAGGAAACTATATATATATATATATATATATATATATATATATACACGAAAACTAAACCAAACTCATTGCCGTCGAATCAATTCCAACTCTTAGTGATCCTATAGGACAGAGTAAAACTGCCCCATAGGGTTTCCAAGCAGTGGCTGGTGGATGGGAACTACTGACCTTTTGGTTAGCAGCCAAGCTGTTAACCACTATGCCACCAAGGCTCCATATATATATCTTTTGCTCATCTCTGTCCTATTCCAATCAGGGAAATTTTTTAATTGATGAAGTTGTAGAAGCTGTTTTATGATGGAAAAATATAGCTCAAGGGTTGAGATAGGGAAATCACATTGCAAGCATGCTCCAGAAGG